GACCGCTTAAAGCTGCCTTTAATTGGTCGGTCAATCGTAACTGTGATTCTTATCTGATCACGACGAGGCAACGCAAAGATTCACTCTCGGTGCTTTTAGGCCTCTCAAGCACCCGTCACCGTTCTCGTCGAATTCGTCGATTATGACGAAGAGTTCGACGAGCGACCTAACCCAATACACAGCCCATTGAGTTTCTCGCCGGATCTTCTCGGTGGGTCACGATTCCGATCCGGTGGTAGACTCAGCGAAGCACTACTCTTACTAGGGCTAGTGTTAGCAAATTCTCTCAGGTTGAGCCCGTGAGCTCACCTACATTTGCGGGCGTAGCTGGAATAGCCCCTTAGGCTACCAGTGAATTTCATTCATATCAAACTTGAGTACGATATAAATGAAATCCTTAAGAATATGGCATTGACAACATCATTATTTACTAAGATACCTAAACTCTTAGATTAACATCGCTATGAAATAAAGATCGTGTATTTTCCGGAAAAATAAATAAGTTTACCTACATAGATGATATTTGTTGAGTTTTATAGCGGAAAATACGCAGATGAATACCCATATCTACATAACAAATAATAAATGATAACGTACTTCAAACATTACTCGTTATCAGTTATTCAGACTGTAAAACAATGAAAATAAAAAAAATCGGTATGTTCATATGGGTAGGCGTGTAATTTTCCACTCAGATGAATTTTCATATCGCCTCTAGACGGAGACAAACCGGATTCTGCTTCGTCAACACCTTCTGGCAATGAAATGCCACCGAAAGTGATGGCCAAACATACTGTCCAAGAAAACGGTTCAATCAAAAAAATTACGGTGCCGAGTTTAATTCTTACTCCAAAGTGGGCAGTTTTCTACTAGAATATGTGCTGTTCTGAAAGGCGGGATCGACCTATCGGCTATATGTAAATAGCGATAATTGTTTTTAAATGTATTGAATAAAAGACTATTTTATTTTGGTAAAAAAATGTGAATTACTTGAAAAGTGTATTTCAACAGAACGCTGAGGATTGAAAATTAACAATTTACGTTAGTTTTAAATATACGAGACCAAGGGTCGATGACCTTCCAATAATATCAGATCGCACTGGATTGGCAAATGATCAAATTCAACGGCATATAATGGAATCAACAAAATATATCCCAGTCGCGGAAAATAACGATTTACAAACTAACCATTATTCGCTGTTTAGTGAAGACAGTGAGATCACCCCGGTGTAATTGATGATGATTAGGTTATACTCGTATCTGACTTTGAATTGATTGTTGACACGCTCTGGCTCCTACATGTGTTTCATTACCAATTGTTTGCTACTTTCATGGAATCATTTCGATGGTTTTTCCAAACTGTTTGAGCGGTTGTTGCGGATACTCTCACTATTTAATAATAGAAGAATACATATATTTCGACCTCAAATCTCATTGTAGACGATAGCCTACAAGTAGGAACGCTGATAGGTCTACCAATGTTGTACAATAAACATATTTAAAATATCCATAGTTTTTTCTCATTTATTGCGTGTATTAAAATATTCAGGTAGGTGACTCAAAATGATTCCAGATAAAAAATAAATCGTATATAAACATTAGATTATTCATACATACATTAGATGTGCGCAAAATATTATTATCTGTTTGAATTAACAAAATTAAAGTATTCTACATCTTTACTTAAATTTGTCATATAAACTAAAACTAACAATACAAAGGAAAATATTATTTTGTAAAAAAAGAAAAGAATAGTCCAAAACATATTTACGTAATTCGTTAATGATTTTTGTACGGCCCATAGATGAAAACCGTGAACGACTACGTCATTCCATAGTTTAGTCTATTTTAGTTTATCATATGCTGAGCACGTCTTAGCTCTGCTAGATATTGTTTATGCCAGACATGCGCGATGTTACCGAACTGACTAGTAAACAAAACACGGGCTCACCGCACCTCACCGCTCGTTTGCCGTAAGATAATTGGCTTCGGAAACTAATTGCTTTAAGAATTACGTGAATGACCAATTGTCGCTGAGAAAGTCTACGATGAAAATAATAATAAAATGTTTTCTTTTAAGCCGAATCGGTGATCAGTAAGCCAAGTTTTATAGGCAAATGAACTGAGGATGAAAGAAGCCAAATCTTGTCAAAAAGAGTGGTAGGACAATTTCACTGCAATTACGCTCTCGCGATTAGTGTTAGGCCGATCTTGTCGTTATTTGAAGTGTTATTGCATTTAAATCTAGCTTGAAAGATAAGTGTTGAGATCTTATGATATGTTCTTAGATCGCGACCCGGGGTAGTCCCATGTAGGAGAGAGGCTGTGGTGAGATTAATCGAATACTATACGAGAGCATACCTTAAATATTTCTCTAAAATAACTGGTGGCTCAAAAATTGTGTATAGCTGGGTGATTCTAAACTAAAGGATTCTTCGATTGTCGCCTTCCTTTACAAAAAAGCGATATAGGAGGCAGGCGTTGGTGTTTCTTGGTTTGTTGGTGTTTCTTCGAACCTCTGTGTTGTCAAATGTGTACTTAATTTGCCAGTGTTACATTTCGGGTGATCTGTCCGGGTTTTTTGGATAAGGTGGAGTCATCTCGACCCGGTTTCTGTTGATTATAAGACCCTCGGAGAGGGAGGGCTCAAGAGAACAAGGACGAACGCCTCTTGGCCTTACTTTGAGACTTCTGCTTATCCCTTGTCAAGTGGAAGGATTGCGCTTGTCCACCTCTTATTACATTTGAATTTTGTATCACTACAGATAAATAATGCAATTCTCAATCAATTAGGATTTATTATATATTAAATAGTCGAAGTTAATATTTCAAATTTAATACGGCGTAAAATACTTGCGATGTGTTAAAATTCGCAAAAAATATAATTATATTAAATATACATACAGTGAATTGATAGAATAATTGGCAGCTGTAATGACAAAACGCAGTATATTGGCTGATAACTAACGAACTTGAGTACTCGTGAACACACCTCAAGACGCAAAGATATTTTGTTTGTTTCAAGGTCTTGTCATGCATTTGAGTTTTCAGAAAAAAAAATTATTATACAGTGATCTTGCATTACAGACACGCATTACCTAAGGCTGTTATAGGAACTCATTAATTTAAATATGTAAAAGAAGGACAATACTGATTTATACTCAAGGCTAAGGAACAATAAGAATATTAAAGTTTAATTATTGGCAATTTTCGATTCATACTCAAATGCGAGATACTATAAATTATTTTTGATTCTTAAATCGATCCATTATTTAGCTAGCTGCTACTAAATGAAGGATTGTAACGCTTCATGGTTAGTAAAAATAATAATAATTAATTGTAAAGTGAGCCCAGTCTCGTCGAAGGTCAAATTATTAATGAATTCATAAATTCATCATATTAAAATTCACGGTAATTTAATCAAAATGTATTTTGTAAATAGAATAATAAAATATTCAAATATTTATTTAAAAATAGTATTCGAATTTGTTAGCAATTCTTTATGAGGACGTTCAATATTGTCGTTAAGATTTTTCCTTTAAACCACTATCTCTTTGATTTTTTATCCAAAAGTAGAGATTGCAAGTTTATTGAAAGATATTTTTCGATGTTTAAATATTGAATATTTAGATTTTTCATGTGTTCAGCATACAAAACCCTAGTACTTTTACACCATGAGAAATAAATTTCAGTGCTATTTCTTTCGTTGGGAATGTGGGATTATTGGTGGGCTGGAGGTCTGGTCTGCTTCATCAGAACAAGTGAACGAGCTCCTAGCCTGTAATGTAACTATTAACGAAATATTTCCATGTTTTTAAAACTATTAAAATCGAAACCTGGTTACAAATATGAAGGCTATTTATCAATATTTTCCATTGATAGCTACATCGTACTAAAATAAAATCGAAAAAGTCAAGTCGGGTTTTCTATTCAAACAATTTTATATTTTAACCGACTATGTTCAAGCCTATGTAGGTTTATGATTGTGACCGTGTGGGGTCTTCATTTGGAAAAAACATAATTGACAAATGTGTCATTTGTCAATTATGTTTACTCATCGTGTAATAGGAAAATTGACTTCTCAATAAATCTAATAATGTTAATTTTGTTAAGATTTTTCCTCTTTAGGATTACAGTATTTAAAACATCTGAAATGTAAACATTAGGTACGTTAATTCTTTTAAAAAAAATTATTCGTACATACGTAGATGTATTTTTTTCTATACAAATATTCTGCCAGACTTTTCGTTTGTGTATATGTAACATGTTTTATTAGCTCGTGGTGAATGACAAAGGTGTCAAGGTGCATAATGCAACGCATCAGACACGTAGAAACTTGTTAGTGTGGTAATGACGGGCGTTACTAAGTGAGCTCCTTCAATCTGTACAGCACAATCAGTTACAGTAAGAGTTCAATTAAGATTTCAATAAGAACTTATATCCGTTGACGACCTTGAGTTCAAATGTCTCGCCGACATTCTCTTTGTTGAATCCTAGTGTGTTTTATAGCATACTTGAGAGGTGTGTCTTAATAATAATTAATGCCAAAAAGCTTTTAACAATAAGCCATATTCAATTATAAATATAATTATTTTAAATTTAAATTTTGTCGATAGTAAAATGGCTATCATGAAGATAATACTATCTACCCTCATATTGTGTGAATTGCGCATTGATCCTTTTACTTTTGAAGACTTAAAATTGTGTGTATAATGATGATTTAGACCTTTGTTTTACGGGTTTAACTAATGTGTTCTTAGTAACTTAAGGAACTTCAGTTTGTTATGGTGCTGTGAAAGTTAAATAAATATTAATTACGAATAAATTTTTTTGGCATTTTCGATTCGATTTCACATCTACTTTTTTTTTTTTAATGGCTAACTAGTTGCGCCATTCGGTCTCAGAATTTCATTTAGAAAGGACGAAGTTAAGTTTCCTAGTCCGACTGTGCGTGCCAATACATCGTTTAGAAAGTGCGTCGAGAACGCTCACAATCTCACCTGCTCCACACGTATTCTTCCAAAAGTCACAGAATTTGCTGCAAGTACACATCTCGTTCGGACGTCACCCCGCACTGTGCCAATGTATTTTTAAACTTCACTTGTAGAGTTTCGCAATGCTACACCGGGCGCGCATTCACAACGGCAGCATTAATGTCTACTACTATCGAAGAAAACTTTATTCGTCGTAGTAAACGGCGTCGATGTAAACACGGCTGACAGGATAGACGTATAACGGCTCACAAGGCGATCGTCTCTGTACCGTTGCAGGGATGAAAGCGAGCGTGAGTCCCCGAGCCTGTACCGAAAGTGATCGTCATTATAATACAGCCGGCACGGCGCGGCGGTTCGTACTCGTCTAGAGTGTAACAGCGATCGAAGTGATCGGTGCGTCAGACGGCGAAGCGTGTTGCCGATTCGGGCGCCCTCGAGCGACTGCCGCCGGAAAACGCGGCGATCGCAAACGCGTCGAGGAAATGCACAGATTTCGCGTCCCATTGAACCGATTAACAAAGATTATTGATGGAAATTTAAATTACGAAGCTTAGTCTGACATCGGCTAAATTATAACATCGCTCGAATCTATCTTCTTCTTCTATATATATATAAAAATGAATTGCTGTTCGTTAGTCTCGCTAAAACTCGAGAACGGCTGGACCGATTTGGCTAATTTTACTCTTGAATTATTTGTGGAAGTCCAGAGAAGGTTTAATTGGTAAATAAATATGAAAATGCTCGGTATGAAATGAAAATAACAATTTTGTTTTTCCTTTGATGTGGGGGACACATTCGGACACAGTCGGACGGATTCATTTTGTTTGTTTTAAGTTTATTTTATACAAAAGTTTAGTTCTTTTATTTATCGATTGAGGCACTGCGAAGTCTGCCGGGTCAACTAGTAAGAAATAAAATATACATTCATTATTTATCGTTGGATAATTAACAAAAAAATATGTATTGCGTAATGAGCCTTAAATTAAATAATCAAACGTTAATACATAAAACATGTGTTACCTATGTGTGACCAAGGTCGAGGGGCGTCCATGGCTGCGACATGCTATCAATTCGAATACAACATCGATCTGTGTGATACAAAACTGAATGTTTTACGCACGACTACATTCGAAAGTTCAATAAACAATTTAAGGGCCATTTTCGTATTGTCAACGGATATTTCTATTCTAATATTCCCGTATAAAAGAGTTCAACGCTCTAACCACATCCGTTCCACAACGCATCCGCGATCATCGGACAGTTTCTTTGTGGAGAAAAAAAAAACCTTTCGTGCCCAGTGTATTTCTATTTTTGTATAATTTCTTCGCAATACGATTCTTGAAGTGCTTGCCACTATTAAAAATTTGTAAAAAAAAAAAAACATTTTGACGTACGAATGCAAATTTGAATAAGGTATTCGTAATTAGTAAATTTACAGCGCGGGGACCACGAGATTTAAATCAATTTAGATGATAAGCAACTACGATTGTAAATGTAAAGAAAAAGTATTTAAGTTATAAAAAAGTATTGAAGTATTTAAAAGTGTATATGTATTTATTATTTTATGAATATAAATTGTATGGATCTCTAATGTAAAGCAAAATGGAAGTTCCAACGCATCGTACAACCTCAATGACGTTGTGCGTCATTCAGTTGTTAAATATACACTGCATGCACTGCAATTTCAATATTATTTCAGCATTTGTCTGATTACAATTTATAATCAAAAAAACTATGGCTGTATACTCGTTTGCCTACAAGCGTAATAAAAAATATAAAAAAAAAACAATGCACGAACGTTAGTTTGATTGACTCTGTTCTTTATAGTGTCGTTGAATTGATGACTTTTGTCTTTTTAGTGATCTAGATAGACAGACTAACGGTCCACTCGATCTTTAATTAACCGTAACCAATTGACACTATAACGTGATTTGGTCCGGTTGTTACCGGGTTGGTTGTTGTTTAGAAATAATACATAATTTTAACTAATAAGAAAACCGACTTTAATAAAATAAAATGAGAATTCCATCATTAAAGTCGAAGTAACTTTTTTTATTCCTAATATCGATTAAAGACGAACTCCCAGCCCACCTGTTGTTAAATGCCCAACGGCTGCCCCACCCTTCAAACCAAAACGCATTTCTGCTTCACGGCAGAAATGGGCGGGGCGGTGGTACTTACCCATGCGGACTGACAAAAAGTCCTACCACCAGTTAAATTTATTACCAGTAAAAAATGACCATTCCATATTCACGGTTTCTGTATTCACGACATATTTACGGAACATGTGTATGTATACCTCGCGAATAAAGAATTTAACTGTAACATAGTTGCTTTAATATATTTTATTATTAGTTCTTATATATTAATGCCAGCAAAACGAAATGTCTCATTAATAAACAGAATGCAGAGTCAGTCTTGATTATTGCTTTTACACAATTAATGTCAAATTTGATTCGTACTTACCAACGAAGATTTTAATAAATACATAAATTTAACAGCAAACCTGAATCGATCTCAAAATATCCGCAGTGACCACATTACATACGACATACGAAGGTCGCCTGGCCTCTTATAGACACCGGGAAGTATTCAAACTACGTACTCATTACGAGACTGGACCATAAATTAATGAATAAAGAAGTCTTTGAACAGATTAATCGCCCACAGTAAATTCGATAGTATTCATAATCGCAATGTCTAATACCGTATTCACATTACATTATACGATTTTCGTGAGTCGTAGACATAGATAATACTACTGATATAGATAATACTACTGTTACGGCTTAATCTCGCGTTATTTATATTCATTTATTATAATAATATTTTCATCGATACTGTCGTTCGTTGCCACGAAAACTGTAATAAAAAAGTGTTCGTAACATCGGAAATAGTAAAATGAAAATAATAAATGCGAGATTAAATCGTAAAAGTAACTTTAATCTATACATATGGATAAAATTGGGAGTTTCTGCGACGAAGGGCTCGACGAGTAAATTAACTCCCAGACACAGCCCACTGAGTTTCTCGCCGGATCTTCGCAGTGGGTCGCGTTTCCGATCCGGTGGTAGATTCTGCGAAGCATGGCTCTTGCTAGGGTTCGTGTTAGCAACGTCATCAGGTTTGAGCCCCGTGAGCTCACCTATAAACTTTAGGGTTATGCTGAAATAGCCTCTCAAGGCTCTCAGCTTAGGTAGGAAAAAAAAAGGGAGTTTCTGTTTGTAATATTGAAATAACCGCTTTTTACTACATGCATATATATATACGGTACATGCACTAAAATAACATTTTTTTACAATTTTTGTCTGTCTGTCTGTTTGTTTCGGCTAATCTCTAGAACGGCTGGACCGATTTTGACAGGACTTTCACTGATGATATAAGGAGTATCTTAGGCTACTTTTTTTAGACTAGCTTCGCCCCGCTGCGCGTCTCGGGACTCATCAATAATAAATGACAGTTCCCTAAGCGAAGCGAGGGTGGGTCGCTAGTTATTACTAAAAATTTTTAAACTGTTTATACATAGTAACGTAAACTTAAATAGTTAGAACATCGTTTATTTAAAAGTCGTTATGTTTTATTGTTTTGAATATACATATATGTAGAATCTTCAAAGCTTCATACCGACCCTTCTCAGTAGTGAAACTGCATTTAATTCAGTGGTTAATTTATGAAGATTTAAAACTGCCCGTAAAAGCCTACTTTAATTATATACATTTTGTTTTTGTTTGCTCTTGATGGATTAAGGGTCCATAAATATCAGAGCGGAAATAACGCTGGGTGTTTTAGCTAGTCAACGAATATAAATGTAATTAAAAATATATTTGTACTATTTGTATCCTGATTTTATTTTCAGATCTAAGTCTTTTCTCGATTACTCCTTGAACGATACAGTGTGTTTAGTGCGAGTTTTTTTAACTTCTCGGTCTACGATTGCCGCTAGGAGCGCTGTTCCAACTCCATACAAATTCGAGTTAACTTTTACGCGATCGGGAAGTTAAAAACATGCACTAAGCACACAGATTTTTACTGGTGGTTGGACCTCTTGTGAGTCCGCACGCGTAGGTACCACCGCCCTGCCTATTTCTGCCGTGAAGCAGTAATACGTTTCGGTTTGAAGGGCGGGGCAGCCGTTGTAACTATACTGAGACCTTAGGACTTATATCTCAAGGCGAGAGTTAGGCAATCGCCTGATGTCCGTATTTGCTGAATGCACATCGGATGACCCCGTGCGTCATAGCAGAAACTGCACCATTGCAGATTTAGCAATAAGTTTACTTAATAGATATATTGTAATTGTAAATTAGTCTTGTAGTGCATTAGAACCAATAAACATCGTTTTAATGAAATAAATTCTTTTTTTAATAATTATTTCGTTCGCCGTAACTTAACTCGAGTGGTGCATTTACATTGTAGATGTCTTTGGGCTCCAGTAACCATTTAACACCAGGTGAGCTGTGAGCTCGTCCATCCATCTAAGCAATAAAAAAAGAAGATATCTATTGTTGCTTTCTGGCACGAAGCAATCATTTTTTCCCCGTTCAACGGTAATGTGACCCTTGTTACAACGCAATTGAGACTTCCAAGTCATGCTTCAAGGTGAATATTGGCAATCACGTTGTTATAGCAAACGTGTGCTCATCTACAGCATTAAAAAGTAATCGTGCCCCCCCCCCCTCTTTGGACGAAAACTCTAGTGTTTAATATTTAGTTTGATATTTAGCAAAATAACATTTATTTAACTTTTTCGTCCTCACTTAATTCAAAAAATCCACACGGACCGGCGCCAAGCTAGGACAACAAAGATTGACTTCGAATCATAAATATGTTTCTCAAAGACGTCCTAAGTCCGGTCGCTCATCAAACTCTAATCTCATGTTTACGGACTCAGCAATAACTCGGCGAGCAAAATTCTGTGGAGATGAATTCGTTTACTTAGTCTAACAAAACGCGCACACAAAAAACCTATAACTTTAATTTAGAAACCTATGTGGAACAATCAATTAACTGTCGAGGAATTTCAAATCCTCAATTTCATAGGACAGAATTAGCAGATAAACAAGGTTATTACCCGCTAATAATTGCATTATTGGTTTAGTAATTCGCACTTACTAATACTGATAAACAATGTGAATGACATTTTGTTTACCGATAAGCGATACAGCATATTATTATTATCACATGCATATTACTAAGATGTAAAAAATAAGATTCTCGGAGACCACCTTGAAGAGTTACAGATAACCTCAGAAAACGAGTTCACTGCCGTCAGAAAATGTATTAAATGGATATTTTGGAATCGATTGGTACAAAATCACAAAAATACAGAAACCAAGTGAGTGTAATTAAACTATGAGGGGTTTTCCATATATT